CGACGAAAATCGGATGCAGTGTGAATCCAGCTTAAGCCTGCGGCACACTATGCTTGTTGTCCTGCTGGATTCTTGGCTAGATTAAATTTTACCATCGTATTGGCCACGGTGTGCAGCCGGCTTTAATTATAGCCAATCCTGACAGCTCTTATTATTATTAGAACAGACGCACCACATCCATTTTCGACACTACGACTTTATCGACAGTCTCGTAAAATAGATGTGGTATCTAGTTCGCATATCGCAAAAATGAACGTTGATGCGCTGGTATACTTAAGTGTTATATGAAAAATGCTGAGATAATCGTTCTCAGATTTTTCTCTGACCTGAGACGTAAGGAAATGTGTCGTGCTGACGCAGATGGCTATTTCGTTGAAGAGTTGCTGATAATATTATTCTAGGCAAATAGCGAATTTGCGATATGTCTGGTTGATATAAACCTGGAGAATTACCGGAAAAGTTCTGAGAAAAGGTTAACGAGAGAGCTTATGCCTTCGCATTTCTAGGTATAACCTGGGCTGCGTTCCGTTTCACGCATCTTTTTATTCTCGTTATTTACCGAATGTTAAACAAGGATAAGTGATGCATTGTGCACATCATGCGTGAAACGGAACGCAGCCCTGATCTGACGATCCATATCTTATCTTAAGGTATTTCTTTTTCTTGTTCAGTTCTTTTGACGACGATTCCGATTACGCTATGATACGGCAAATAAAGATGGAACCAGAAGCGATATTTTCATCTGAGGATGATCTCATAGCACAGCTACAACAGGAAAGTTCTGATCTAGAGGTCGAGCCTAGCTTTTCGTTGGACTCCCTGAATGGAGATTATAGCAATGAAGGTGTTCTAATGCAGCACATGGACATTAGGGAGCCCTTATCCGTGTTAAGGACTCTCTTACAGGAAAGGCTCTCTTTAGATTTAAGAAATTATTCATTTTGGTTACAAAATGCACAGATGGTAAGCGACAAGCATCACACAATGTTCTAAATCTCTTATAACAACCGTTATTAGTTCCTAAAATTATTTTGAAATGAAAGTTATAACACTGAGATAACGAGGTTAAAATAGTTTTTAAATGAGAAGCGTTTTAAGGCTGACTAATTAAAATGTCCAAAATTAGGGAAATTTGGGCACTCGGGTAGTACAGATATTTTCAAGCATCAATTCTGTTTTAAAAGTTAATAATATAATTCTATACACATATGCTTTTACTGTTGTAAAATGTGTCGTGCCTCAGCGAATTTTTGGATAATTTAAATGCTCGCCTTTAAGTATCTCTCTTTTAGAAACTATTATTATAATCTCTATATATATTTTTGGTATTAAGAGAAATAATCCTATTTTCAGTTAAAACAAATTTTAGTGCTTAGTAATGCTAATTTTGCAAATAAATTTTTTCTATTTTATAAGCTGCTCGTCAATTTGATTGATATTAGGATTTTCATTTCAAAATTTAAAACTCTATCATTAACAATTATCATGAGAGATCTAAGGTATCCTATATATTTTTAAGTTAATATTTCATTTATTGTAAGACAAATTTTTCAAGTATGTTGATTGGCTACAGAATAGAGAGATCTCGAATCTCTAGAAATTCTCTATCTTGTAACCAAATTTGGGGGGGGGGGAAACGACAAACTTGAAAAATTTATCTTATAACAAATAAAAGATTAGTTATATTTTATATATATTTTATATATATATATATTTAGCTTGAATTGTATTTTTTCTATTTGTTACAATAGCTGGAAAGCCACAAGAATTTAGTTGATCAATGTGTCCAAGGAGAAGGACTGGTTCAGATTAATGTACAAATAAAGCCGATGCAGAAACGCATCAATATAGTAGACGTTCTTAAGCCAGCGGATGATTTCATTGAAATTGTAGAAAATTGTATGTATAAATGCATATATGCGCTTGTTTTTGTTTTTTTGTCAAAATGATTGTACTGTAATAGATAATATTTTTGTTATGACATAGTACCGGTCACTACTGCTCTGGAAAACAAATCGAATGTCATAAAGTGGATGATAGATGCGCAGTATAAAAAGGATCAGGTAATTAAAATGCTTTCAGTGTAAATTATTGTAATTAAAATATTTTTATATATGTATGTGAAACATACGTATCTCATGTGATTAATATTTTATTTTATAAACCAATATATAAAAGAAACATGATTTGCTTTATTCATATAGAACATTTGTTTTATATAGACATGACTTTTGTGGTTTAAAAAATATATAGATTTAAAAAATAAATTGTACATTTATAGATTTTTGGCCTTCAGCAACTGAATTAATCTGTGAAGTTATGGCCACATAAATTGTGGTACATATAAATTATTGATTTAAAAATGCAATTCTCGGAATTATGGAAATTTTGAAAAATTCTTAGAAGTTTAAATAATGCAACTTCTTTGCTGATCGTATTGTATTTATACTTTGATTTTTATGATTGATTTTTATGATTTGGAATCCTGCATTCTTAAAAATGTAGAGGGATATTTATTATATTACAAGACAAGTTTTTTTATTATTAATGTATTTTATTATTTTTTTAAATTACAAAATATTTTTTTGGGGAACAAAGGAGCGATTGAAAATACCAAATGACCCAAGAGAGTGGACGGAAACCCACGTAAAACATTGGCTGCAATGGGCTGTTAGACAATTCAATATACTATCGTTACGTTTGGCTGATTGGAATATTACCGGAGAGCAATTGTGTAACCTTACAATGGAGGAGTTTCATGCAAAAGTGCCTCTTGATCCAGGAGACGTGTTTTGGACACATTTCGAACTTCTTAGAAAATGCAAATTTGTTGGTATGTTTATAAGAAATATAGCATTACACGGTTTAATAAAATGGTTAGACTTTATTTTATATTTCTTTGACCAATCTTTTGCTTGCAGCTGTTGTACAAAAAGATACACCGGACTTGTCCAATGAAAGTGTTGCAGAGAAGTCTATTAAAGTACGAAGTCAGAAAGTAACAAAACCGAAGCCTACCGTAAACCAACAGACACGTGTAATTAACGTACCGTTAGAAAATGTCGATCCAACTTCCATTACTATTGCCAGTTCTAGTCGAACCGTTAATAGCGGCCAGATACAGCTGTGGCAATTTTTGTTAGAATTATTAACGGATAAAGAATATAGGAACGAGATTCAGTGGGTAGGAACTGAAGGAGAGTTCAAACTTAATCAGCCGGAAGTAGTGGCGCAATTGTGGGGAGCTCGAAAAAATAAGCCGTCGATGAATTACGAAAAACTGAGTAGAGCTCTTCGATATTATTACGATGGCGACATGATTTCTAAAGTTCATGGCAAGCGATTCGTTTACAAATTCGTTTGTGACTTAAAACAGTTATTAGGTTACTCAGCGGCAGAATTGAGTAAACTTGTTGATCAAGGGAGATTGAGTAAGCTTGTTGAGGAAGGGAGATATTTCTGATAAATCGTTTCAGGAGACACGGTAGTGTCTCGGCGCTAAGACGTGCCGCGAGACACTGTCGTGCTCCTTTTTTTCGATTACTTCTAAACAATACTATAAAAGATCGTTTCTTGACAAGAGATTTTACTGTAATATATTATAATAACTTACTGCAGAGCTCTTCTTTCCATACATACAATATTTAAAATAATAATGTTAAATAAAATAATAGTGGTGAGATAATAATAAAATAGCTTTAATTGCAAGCATCTCGTCTCACCACTATTATTTTATTTAACATTATTTTAAATATTGTATATATGGAAAGAAGAGCTCTGCAGTAAGTTACTATAATATATTACAGTAAAATCTCTTGTCAAGAAACGATCACTTTTGAGATAGTCTTTCATCGATATCATTACCGCGTTAGTATTTCTTCATTAGCTATGAATTTCTTTGCTTGTTTTTCGAATGAATTAAGTTGGTGACTTTGCGAATATCATTATTTCATTAGCAAGCCATAAAAAGTTTAATTTACTAATATTTATGTAAAATAAATTTTCGATATAAGTTAGAAGTGTTTATTAGATCTTGCAGCATATACAAATTGCGTGAATTATAGGGTAACATTAAGACCCGAAAATTATATATATATGATGATTATGTAATATTTCATTTTATGTAGCATTATGGCTTTACATAATGGATTGTACAAATTTTGTACAACAGCGGACTTTTACAAGGCATTTATGTATCATGGGCTTATATATGGATAATATTGTATGATACCTTCACATTCTTGTTAAAAAAACAAATATTCGAGATTTGATTTTGACTACGACCAAGAACTCAAGGTAATGTATTATAAAGTTTCACGTTAGATATATCGTCCCGTCGATTTAAAAGAAGCTTGTATATAACAGGAAAAACAGTATGACAAAGTTGTTAAATGTATTTAATCGATATAAATATATTTTTTTATTATCTAGATTAATGTTAATATGTAAAATTCTAAGACTATCAAAAAATATAAGTGTTTTATAAAATGCGTTTCGATAAAAGATGTGATAAAAACGTGAAGACGATATTGTAATCTAAAATTTTCGATATATAATAAATGACGCGCTTTATAAAAAGCTATATAATTGATGCATCTTTTTTGCATGATTCTGCCGGTATCATGCGAATAGCGTATTCCTCATTTAATTCTTATGCAAGTTGAAAGTGGAACTAAAGCTTTAAGCTTTCGTTAACATATCTAATGATTTTTTTGATCGATGTCGAAATCATATTTCTACTTTGAATATCTTTTATGTGATTTTAACGGGCAAAGATTTTAACGGTATAAGAATTCTTTCTAGTGTTTAACACCAATTTATAATAATTATTTTATATTCTTTTCCATATTTTTTGCAGCTGAATAAGATAAACGAATTTAAAGGAACACAAGCGGGTACTGAAAGAGAAACCAATGCAAGTTTCCGTTAAGTCTAATGAAGAGTTAAATAAACATTCGTTCTCTCAATCACACAGCAATGCGGAGACGTAAAGAAGAAAAGGAAAAAGAAAAAAAAATACGCAGAATACGTGCGGCGCGGCAAGTTGAAACGCGACGACGTTTGTATCTCTGTTGCTAGGACTGACTTTTGATCGGCAAAAGGCAGCACTCATCGCCAATACCAGAGAATCTAGCCTGTGAGATATCGGACGCGACGTCACAAGTTAGGGTCTCAGGGAACCGGCGACGCGGCAGGCTTTACAATCAGCCCGCCCGCCATTGCCCTTTTTTTCTCTCTCTTTCTCCCTCTCTCATTCTCACACACGCTCAGCACCACTCATTCCCTTCATCTCACCCTCGCGCTCCGTGATCGTTCCGCCCTTTCTCTTTTGCAAAGAGGATCTTATGCAAATTCATGGCTGCCCCGGACAGTGCGTCGCGAATTATTACCTCGAGATCTCTCGAAGGAATCGTGGCGACAAAAGTAGAGGTCGAGAAAACTGTTTCGTCGAATTTTGGTGAGTCGCGCTTTGGCTGAGCTCCCCAGTCTGGCTCGAACAGAATCACTAACTGAATGTAGAATCAGTCACTCATAGTCAGTTCTTATATTTAAGAACCATCTTAGTAGTCTTAAGATGTCATGAGCCAATTACAGAGTCATATCAGCATCTTGAGGCATTATTTAAGACATTTAAAATAAGAACAGACTATGAATACTGGATTCGCGCTTAGAGAACGAGAAACGGAAGTGCCAATGAAAGGACAGAAACACATTTCTTGCACTCGTTACGCAATTATAACGAACGAAGAGAGAATACATAGATGGACGATGCATTTCAAGACGAAAGAGTTTCTCTCAAAGAAATCGTTTGCGCCTTGTTTCTTTCTTAAAAGAACGGTTGCGAATATACGCTACTCTCCCTCTCACGTGCATGCATACGGAAAGAACGGGTTTGCTGAAGTATCTAAAAATTCAGCTACAGATACAGATTTGAAAATAATTCTGTTGGACCATCAAAATAATTACTTGGAAATCTCAAGTAATGCTACGAAAAGTTTTGACATTCTAACAATCAGCTTGTACGTCCCACATAATTATTTTGATGCCAAATAAAATTATTTTCAGGTCTGTATCTAGCTAAATTTTTAGATACTTCAGCAAAATGTTCACTGAAAAAAATTTCTGGTTGAAAATGGACGAATCAGAATTTTCTGGTTAAATTTATTAGAATTCTAGTTGAGACAAAATTCTAGTTGATACAACATTTCTGGTAAAATCTACTAGAATTCTTATTTTTACCAGAATAATCAATCAGAATTCTAGTTATCTCAACTAGAATTCTAGTAGACTTAACCAGAAAATTCTGATTCGTCCATTTTCCATCAGAATTACTATCTAATCCAACCAGACTATTTTTTTCTCAGTGAATTCCCATATGCTCACATACACATACGTCCGCATTTTATACCTAAGAGAAAAATGTCACGCGCGCGCATTCGTGTAAGGCGCAAGGCCCCGTCGATTTGTACATTCGAGAAGGAATTTTTAAGAAAAATAAGGAGAGGTCGTTTCCCTCCTCCGCGGAGAGATTCCTCGCGGCGCGGATGTCTCGGGAGCGGTTCCATGTAGTGTCAGCAACGTTGAAGCGCCGACGACTGGGAAAGTTAGCAAGTTGTACAGTGGACTTCGTATCTCGCGAATTTCCATTCCCTACTATACAACCTACTACCTCACCCAGACATCGTCGCGGTCGGCTCCTCCTCCTTCGTCCGCTGCTCCGTGTATCCGCCGTTCTTCTCCTCGCCCTTAACTCGCCACCCGACCGACTTTTCGACAGGTCGTCTCTCGCCTCATCTCCCTCTCACGCTCAACTCACCGGGTGAATCTCTCGCGCGCTCGATTCGGTGCATCCAAATTCGCGACTCGCATCCATTGACAATATACAATTAAATCACGTCGATACAATATCACGCTGTTGGATACGTTAATCGTAGTTACGGACTCGCAATCTTTTTTTTTTTTTTTTTTTTTTTTGAGATCTGTTTTTTATTGCTGCATTGGACTCTAGTGTATCGAACTTTCCTTCTCGTTTTTGCGAAAATATCAAACACATCTACTTCACTTTAATCCTCTTACAGAAATCTATTGACTAATTTAATACTGAAAGACAGTAATTAATTACTTAAGTATTAAAAGCACTGTTGCTCAATATTTAGTACTCTAAATGAGTAATTAATTATTGTTTCTCAGGAACAAGTTCTTATTAGTATTCAGATTTATGTGAGGGAAATTCAAAGAGTGTACACTAGTTCAGTTATAAAAAACAAACCTTTGATTTTTACAGAAATGACCCGCCGCACAGAAGAGCCTCAACACCTCCGGATCTCAGGAGGGAGAGGCGCTTTGTATTACAAAATATCGCTTTACAATATATCGTACATAAAGACAGCGTTTTTCATCGGCGCAAAAACGTCAGCAGGTTTGATAACTTTGTAGAGTTAATCTGCTTAGACTGACGTTATTCCTTAACTTTAACGGCGCACGTCGATTGCACTTTAACGGTCAGCAGATGCAAAACGTGGTGCCCTTTTCACGTGCCAGGAAATTACTCAAGAAGACTGTTGCTGATAACCGGAAGTGTCGCGCGAGCGTTTGGGGGGAATGGAGATTGGTGGCGATGATGGCGGTGATGATGCTGCGGAGGATGGTGCTGATGATACTGCATCATCACCACCACCACTAGGATGATGGGGGAGGAGGAGGATTCCGTCGAAAAGTTTTAACGCCGGCCTGACTACATGTACCGGTAGATAGGAGCTTGCGGTATGCATATAAAAAAGCCCACAAGTTCGGATCTACGGGTTAGTGTCATCAAGTATAGCCGATAACTATCATCGTCTCCCGGGATCTATCCACGCAGAAATCCTGGTCCAGAAATCCTGGGGAGACCTGGTCCAGCGGGTCCGGAGGAGTCTGGCAAACCGGTGGCGAACCTGTGAAGATGCAAATTGATATTAGCGATCGATGTTTACTTCGCTGTACGGAAAAAATGGTTTTGCTAAAATATCTAAAAATTTAGCTAACAGATAAGAATTTTGGATCATCAAAATAATTATGTAGGATTCTTAAACGGCCCTCAGAAATCTAATACTAGCCACTAGCTACAAAAGTGAAAGATCGTAGTTTATTTATTTATTTTAAGTACTAAAAAGCACTGTTGTTTAGTATTTCAAGTAAGTAATTAATTACTGTCTTTCAGTAATACATCAGTATTAAATTTCTGTAAGGATGCTAGAATGTTAAAACTTTTTGCAGAATTGCCATCAAAATTTAACATTGACAAAAATGTTCTGATTAAACCATTAAAGGGTCCAACAAGAATGGTATTTAGTGTACATTACGATAACCAGAAATTCTATTTGATCTCATCAAAATGTGATTCTTGTTGGTCTCTTTTGTTGGTTCAAACAGAACATTTTTCTCAGTGAAGCATTCTACATAATTGTTATGATGATCCAACAAAATCATTTTCAGATCTGTACCTAGCTAAATTTTTAGATACTTTGGCAAAACCTTTTTTCTCGTGAAAGTGTATTAATGTTATCTTTTAGAGTTATCCCTTCATCATTAAAGTTCTCGCAATTAGGACTAAGCTGTATTTCAAAATGGATGAAA